CGCGCACCACGTGTGCTAGCTGGGACTCCCGCGGCTGACACTCCTATTACACTAATTTCTACGCCCCTACAGTAGGACCTTCTAGTCTACTGTACCCTATCGGGACGTAATACGTACGGCGGTACACGTGGCCATTCCGTCGCCACCTGTCCCCCGTGGCGGTACGTGCACCCCGTGTACAAGCTGAGTTATCCCCTGCCTTTCCAGTATCGTCTGGTCACCCCTACGGGATCTCCCTCCGGGTCGTTACGTTTACCGACACCGGCCGGTACCCGTTCTCTCACATTATTGACCACACGTGTGCCATTACCGTTGCTGTGTGTGTCATGAGAGCAGTACTCATACATGCACTACACGCACAACAGCGCCAACGGCGCACAGGACACGCCGCCAGACAACGTTTGTCCTTGAATCTTTAGTGTGTGAACAAGAGACCGATGACTCCTCGTTTACTCGTCGTCGCTCGTTGGTTACAAGTCTATTCCCTGCGGGACAGAATGTCCTGTGCGGTCTGACATTTAGTTCAGAGTCCCAAAGCCGGAATAAAGGAGCTATCGCTTCTTGCACCAAAGTCCGTAACGGACCCTTCCCTGTCATTTCCCGCCTGTTTTCGCATATTTCCAAAAGTACACCAATTCATTCTCTTTATTTTCAAAATCACTCCTCATAGTTCATACTCGCATCTCATACTCCTATCTCCTACACGTGCTCGTATCCCACCAACCTATAGGCCCCTAGTTGTTCTCGGGGTCAACGCCGTACCCGTTATCCACGAAGAAGCCCCTGGCGCCCTCGATGTGCAGCCCGACCCACGTATCGACTGTCTCGAACCTTCCGTTGAGGACCATTTCGAACCCTGGTTTCACAAACTGCTTGACGGCCGTCCTCCCCGGCCCGCTGACGATCCTCTGTCCCCTGACGTCTGTATAAAACCTCCCGGACTTGCCCTCTGGGCAGTACCTTGCCCCGATCTTCAACTCCTTGGCCGACATCGACCGGTTCAGCCCAGTGTTCTGGAACAGCTTTCCCCCCGAGCGCCGCCCGAGCTTGACCGACGTGTCGGCCCGCTGCAGCGACTTGATGCCCGTGTTCACGAGCTTGAACTCCGTCTGCAACAGCTTGGTCCGGCTCTTCGCCTTCGTGCACATCGGCAAAGTGCTCCAGAACTCGTACAGCCCCAGTATGGGCGAGCCGCGGAACCGGAACCGCGCGTCGAGGTTGCCCTCGTCCACCACATTCACCGACCGGAACGCGCGCCCCGCGCCCGCCGCGTCCTGCGCGTCCCGGATGCTCTGCTGCCCGGCGTTGATCGGCAGGAAGTCCCCGTTGCGCAGTTGCACGCCCTGGAACCCGAAGTCCCCCTTTTGTTGAATCTCCAGGTACAGCTCGTCCGTCACCCGGTCCTTGATCACCAGCGTGATCGTGTGGAACTGCACCATTGTCCGCCGCAGCGATGACTGCTTCCCGTGCAGGCTGAAGTAGATCATATACTTGTCGTACCGCAGCACAAACCCTTTGAACCCCTCGTCGCTCTCGTCCGCCCGCCCGTCCTTCCACGCCGTGTAGTCGAACGTCGGCTCGTAGTTCATCAGCGCCTTGGGCGACGACCCGTGCTCGTGGTTGTATGCGCTGCCAGGGTGCGAGGTACATGCGCGTCCATAGTTTGCGTTTGTGGAGGGAGAGAGAGAGAGAGAGAGAGAGAGAGAGAGAGAGAGAGAGAGAGAGAGAGAAAGTTCGAAACACCAGCATGGTCAGAACCAAGCTCAACAAGGGCGCCGCGACGAGGAACAAGCTCACGGAATAAGACGGGAGAGAGAAACTTACCACCACCAGCATGGGTCCCACTGCGGATGCCAGGTGCGGAACATGCGGCCGCGCGTGTCTCTGTCGGCGCGATTTTTATCCTTGGCGACCCACGCGGCGTGCAGCGCGGCGGGGCACTCGCGGTTGGGTCGGATCGTCATACCGTTGAACTTGCCCACAGGCGGACTGGGGGACCCGTCCGCCTCGGCGATCCACAGGTTGTACGACCCGGGCACGGACACGCCGGCCACGCGCTGCTTGAGGAACATCGTCTGGGGGATGTCCACGGAGTTGTCGCCGGTGCTGAGCTTGGAGAAGACGTATGCGTATCGCGTCATGGACTTGGTCAGCGTCTGGTGGACGCCGAACGTGATGGTGCCCGCGCCTCGGGTGCGGCGTGCCCATCCCTCGCGCCGCCACCCCTGGAGCGTGGCCGACCGGTCCTCGTCGAAGGCGCTGTTGGGCACGTCCAGGAAGAGGTACACCTTGGCTCGGCGGTTGAAGAAAATCCGGAACGACGGGTCGCGAAGGCCCATGGCCGTGTGGAAGAGGTCGAGGTCCCTGTACTTGTTGGGATTGTTGCCCCTGACAGGAGAGAACATGTGGTCTTGGTGCTTGGGCAAGTAGGCAAGTTGTTCCGACGTGGATAGGGAGCTGGGGAAGGCCCACGACGAGACAAGCACCGGGTTGAGGGAGGCCTTGTAGGCGGGATGGTCCTTGCACTTGGTGGCAATGTTCAAGTTCTCGTTGGCGGCCAGGCTGCCTGTGAGCAGGGAGAGGACGGCAAACAACAAATATGTCGCTAGTTTAAACATGGCGAAGGCGGATATGAGCGCGTGGGTGAGGGAGGGCAGCTATCTTTCTTTCTACCTGCGCCGAGTAGGTTGCTTGGGGTCATGAGCAGCAGCACATGAGCGGCACCGATCAGGGTATTTATACAGGCGCGGAGTGTACGGGGTGGGGACAGAGACGGTCGTCGTCGAAGATGTGCCCTTCAGCAAACAGGGCGTGAGAAGCTGCATCATCCTCGTGCTCGCTACAGAGGTACTCCACGCAGACATGCGTTATTCTTCAGGTGTCATGAATCACGTCAGAAGTTGCATCATTCTCGTGCCTGCTACAAGGTGCTCCACGCAGACATGCGTTAATCTTCAAGTGTCATGAAGCACGGCGGTGCCTCCTCGGCGACGGTTCCGAGGCCGAGTGGCACGAAGACGTGCGGCGAACAAAAACTGTTTCCACTAGTCCTGGACAGACGGCGAGACGCGAGTGCTGCGGAGCAAACGAGGTGAAATCGCCCTTGAACGACGGTACGACAGAAGGATGGTGAGCTGTGTCTTTCTGGGAGATTTCCGTGTTTCGTACCTTCGCAGCAACAGCAGGACGGTCACTCAGGAGATTCCAAGCATCTCCTGTTGGCGCCCCATGTCTGTGCGAGGGGATTCTCGTGAAAACGATTAAGGGCAGACCAGGCGTTGTTTGGAGGTCGCGCAGCACATGGTATGTCGTCTGGAGGACACGGGCTTGTGCATCTGAGATGACGTATTGTTATGTATGTTTTGTGTCGCATGCGTAATGAGGAGGCGTGTTCTCTGGAACGAGGAGAGATTCGGAGAGAATGGTCCTGTATGTTGTCAGGACAGAATAAAAGAAGGATGGATATGGCCTCCATTACTTCCACTGCCAACGTGATCGAAGAAAGGACAAGAAGTCAGGAAACACTTTGTTTGATGACATGAAACGCAAACCAAACCATCAACACCGCTAGTTGGGCGACCCCAACTCGGCCCTCGCCGCAGGGCTGCGGAATGGCAGAATTGTGTAAAGCGCGTCTCGCGACGCGCCGGTGGCACAATTTTCGCAAATCGCAACATACACGCCTCCGGCTCCTCCGCCGCGACGAGTGCATGACGTGGCAACCCCTGCGTCATACGAGCAGCGGGCGTCCGGGGCGGACGCGCGTTCGTCACGATGTCAGACAATCAGGCCGCCCCAGTGACGTCCGAAGCGCCGTCCGGACGGCGTCCTCGCGTGAGCGTGGCAACACGACACTTTGGCGACGGCTGCGTGCCGACCATTCCACGTCGCACATGTCAGCCACGCGCCGCACATGTGTGCCGCGTGGAGACGACGGGCGCGGCCGGGGGGGACACTACGTCTGGCCTGTGCGGCTTGCGGCGCTTGAGGGAGCGGATGCCGTCCGGAAGGGGGTGTTTGGGGAGGCGCTTCGAGGGGGCGTTCGCCTCGCCGGATACTGCTTCTTCACGATCAGTTTGTGATCATGCCTTCGTATGACTTGCAGTCATTCATCCCTCCGGTCGTTGCCCGGTGGCCCATCCCCTTTTGCTCGTTCTGCATCATAGAATGCTTCCCAAAGCGCCTCTCCGCTCCGTACCGGACTTGCTTTACTGGACATCAAACTGAAAGCCTTGGGCGACAGTGCCATGCTTGGGATGTATTTTCAAACTTGGTGTGTGCGACCAATGTAAGCTGAGCTGCTTTCGATGAGAAATAAGTTTCTCACGACTCGCGCCATGCTTAGGTTACGCATGAAATGCCCGTGCCTTACTCTGGTGTCAACACCAACACGTTGTTTACGGACGGACATGTCGTACCAGACGCGCACGTGAGGAGGTGCGCATCCCCTCGTCGCGATTCCGCTTGTTACTGTTCAGGACCGGTAGGAGATACACAGGTGGACGCAGCCGGGACGGATGCGTCCCCCTCGCGGCATGCTTCTACCCGACTGCGCCTCACAGCAATGCTGTAAGCCGCCAGATCTCCAGCGACCCCGACTTGCCATACGGCCGTGCTCCTCTGTTCATCTATTTGCCCGCAGCGGGCGGCACTCCGCGCAGGGCGCCTCTGCCAGTCCCGCGGTCCTGCCCACCTTCTTTCGCTGCACGCTTGCCGTCAAAAGCCGGACGCCCCCCCGGTAGCGCCCTTCCCGACGCGGGGAGCCGCCCCGCGCGAACGTGGCGACACCGGCCCTCGCCGCTTCGTTATGTCGCGACGCGCCGAGGAGACGGAGCGCAGGATGGCACCGCGCAACTGGGCGCATCGTCATCGCGTCCGGGGGGTGCACGTGCGCTCATCGGCGGAAATGACACGTGCTGTACACCGTGGACACGTGGATGATATTTTCAATTTCGGCATCCAGAGCTGCTACAGTCAACCACACTGAGTAGTGCACCCCCATGCAAGGTTCCAACAACATGCAATACTCGCATCTTGCACTAATGAATGGGGTCACACAAAATACTCGTTTACAAGCGCCTGGTGCCTCTCGGAACGACTCTGCTCAGCGCGTGCAGTTAGCAACGCGCGCTTTGCACGGTGCAAATGACGGACTGCATCCTCGATACCCGAATTGTTCACTATTTCCTCCACTCCTGTAAAGCAGGCAATTACTTCCTTAAAACCTGGAATAACATGCTCATTTGATTCTATCTCTTTGGTTCCATCTGCAATCGTCTTTTCATGTTGTGTTGTGGTTGTGTCGGTGCCCTTGCGTGTCACTGGAGTAAGACGGAGAGGACCTGTGGGGTAAATTATGTTGGAAAGGTTGATCCGTTTACTGTTGGGCATCTTCGTCGGCCGCATCCCCGTCTTGGACAGGTGTCTAACAGCAATGCAAGGTATGATAACCTGTGTTCACCGAGAAACCCCTGCATTACTCACTCGTGGAATTACTCAATTCGGCACTATTGCGCGAGTCCTCTCTGTACAGTAATTTATGTGTGGAGGGCCTCCACACATAAAATACATGCAGGGCAAGCCAGTGGCAGCTCTTACCAGATATGAATGAAGGACCGCGACAGTATCACTCGATGGTTGTCTTCAGGAATAGTCCTTATTCGGGCACAGCATGGGTTTGTGGCGGAGAACTGTGGAAGAGGGCGAAAGCTTCCGGATAACTACGCTTAGAAG